AGAAAGAGAGTGTAGTAAGTGAAAGAGAGAAAATATTGTGAGTGCTCCATTTCTAAATAATATAAGTGAGGATAGTGATCTCAGTGTGTATAAAAAATTGTGTAAAATTTTATCTTATCAATAAAAATTACTTTCTTTTGGTGTTTAAATTCTACAAATTGGTATCAGAGCAAGGCGGTCAAGGAAGGATTTTCTGAGCTTCTTGAATTCGTGCACAAAAGGAGTTTGTGAAACTTTTGTAAAGCTTGCTTGATTACAAGGACATAAATCAAGTCATGATGAGCAATCTACAAGCAGTAGGCGGAGTGAAGAAGCTTAATAATCAGAATTACACCACATGGCAAACTTGCATAGAGTCGTATCTCCAAGGGCAAGACCTGTAGAAAGTAATTGGTGGAAGTGAAGTAACACCGACAGAAGAGGTCAGACCTCTAAAGAAATGGAGAATCAAAGCGGGTAATACTTTGTTTGTTATAAAAATAACAATCGAAGAAGAATTGTTGAAGCACATAAGAGATAAGACTACACCAAAGGGTGCATGGAACACTTTGACCTCACTATTCTCAAAGAAAAATGACTTCAGGTTGCAGCTTCTGGAGAACGAGCTTCTCTCGATCACTCAAGGAAAATTAATTGTAAGTCAATACTTTAATAAAGTTAAATCTCTCTGTCATGAAATTTCAGAGTCTGGAATGAAAAGAATAATTATACATAGATTGAGATCTGAATTTAGAAGTTTTATCGCTGCAATACAAGGTTGGCCTGAGCAAACCTCATTAGTTAATCTAGAAAATTTGTTGGCCAACCAAGAAGCATTAACCAGACAAATGTTAGAGGTTTCAATAAAGAAAGAAGAGAAATAAGCGTTATATAATTATAAAAGAAGAGGTAGACCCCCTCAACAAAATAATAAAGAATTAAAAGAAAATAAACAAGAAGAAAGTTTTGTGACAAGGGGAGCCAAACAAAGTCACGACAAGAGAGGTCAGTCATCCAAGAGATTTCAACTGAACTATGGTCTGTGCTTTGTATGTGGAAAAAAGAGGCCATTATGTTAGAGATTGTCGATTCAAGAAAAGACCAACAGAAGGTAATATGGCAGCCTCTAATGAACAAGGAAAATATAATAGTGAAGAAAAGTGGGATGCTGTAGCATCGTTCGCAGAGCGAATTCAAGGGGAGAATGCAGTCAAATCTCCGAAGAAGAACTAGCACTAGCGGTGATATTTCCTGGTCAAATAAATTATGAAAATGATTGGATTGTCAATTCTGGATGTTCCAACCACATGACAGGCAATAAAAAGAAGCTGCTAAATACAACGGAGTACAAAGGAAGTCAAACGCTGGTAACTGTCAATAATTCAAGATTACCAATAGCTCACATTAGTAAGACAATTATCACACCTCGCTTTAGTCCTAGTCAAGGGTAGTTACAAGACGTCTATCATGTGCCAGGCATGAAGAAAAATCTCCTATCAGTAGCGCAGTTGACATCATCAGGTAACTATGTTCTGTTTGGACCAAAAGATGTCAAAGTGTATCAAAATATCGAAATTTTAGGCACACCAATAATGGAGGGACAGAGGTTGGAGTCCATCTACGTAATGTCAGCAGAATCTGCATACGTAGATAAGAGTTGAAAGAATGAGACAGCAGATTTATGGCATGCAAGACTAGGACATGTGAGTTATCACAAGTTGAAGGTAATGATGAAGACGTCGATGCTCAAGGGTCTCCATCAACTTGAGATCAAAGATGACATGGTATGTGATGACTGTCAATATGGTAAAGCACATCAATTATCGTATCAGGAGTTAAGTTATAGAGCAAATAAACCATTGGAGATGAACATTCTGATGTGTTTGGACCTGTCAAGCAACCATCAAATTGAGGGATGCGCTACATGGTGACATTTATCAACAACTTCTCAAGGTATGTCTGGGTTTTCTTTATGAAAGAAAAATCTGAGACATTTATAAAGTTTAAGGAGTTCAAAAATAAAGTAGAAGGAGAAGTCGAAAATACGATTAAGTGCCACGCACGAATAATGGGGGAGAATATATATCAAGAGAGTTTTCCTAGTACTTAAGAGAACATAAAATACACTATCAACTGACATGTCCAAATACGCCACAACAAAATGGTGTAGTCGAGAGAAAGAATTGACACCTTGCTGAAACGTGTCGAAGTATGCTACACGTGAAGAATGTGCCAGGAAGGTTTTGGGCTGAGTATATGAGGACAACAACACAAGTGATCAACAGATTACCACAACCCAAGTTGGGGCTCATTTCACCATTCAAGAAACTGTGGAAAATGAAGCCAACGGTAAGCCACTTTTCGTGTCTTTGGTTGTGTATATTATGTTTTTGTACCTGATCATTTAAGGAGCAAATTTGATAAGAAGGCAATCAGGTACATATTTGTGGGATATGACAGTCAAAGAAAAGGATGGAGATGCTGCGACCCTACAACTGATCGTTGTTATACATCAAGGAATGTGGTGTTTGATGAAGCATCTTCATGGTGGACACCACAGAAAGTGGAGCTAACAGATTCAAATGAAATAGACAATAAATTGCAAGAGGATATCATGGAAGTACAATGAAGTCCTGAGAAAACAAAAGATGTAGAAGAATCAAGTGATGAGAAGGAGTCTACTGGCACAATACAAAGTCCTTGGCAGACAGGTGTACATTAGACAACACCCAAGGAGAAAAGGCCGAGTCAACAAAAAGAGGTTGAGGTAAACCCACAACCATAGTTGAGAAAATCAACTAGACAAAGAAAACCAAACCCCAAGTATGCTAATGCAGCAGTAGAAGAATATGATAATGCCAAAGAACCAGAAACCTTTGAAGAAGCAATCCAACACAAGGAGTGGAGAAAGGCAATAGAAGAAGAGATTATGGCTCTACCGAAAAATGAGACTTGGGATTTGATGCTAAAGCTTGATGGAGTAAAGCCCATATCTTGCGAATGGGTTTACGAAGTAAAGAAATTCCAGATGGATAAATTGAAAGATACAAACCTCGACTAGTAGCTCATAGATTTTCTTAGCAATATGGTCTAGATTATGATGAGAAATTTAGTCCAGTGGTAAAAATTACTACAGTAAGAGTACTTATAGCTTTAACAGTAAGCAAGTCCTAAAAGCTGTGGCAAATGGATGTGAAAAATGTATTTCTCCATGGAGAACTTGATCGAGACATATGCATAGAGCAACCAAAGGGATTCGAGAATAATAGAAAGCCAGGGTATGTTTGCAAGCTAAAGAAAGCTCTTTATGGATTGAAGCAGGCACCACGAGCATGGTACGGTAAGATAGTTGAATTCTTAGTTCAAAGTGGATACTCGGTAACACCAGCAGACTCTAACTTATTCGTCAAAGCACAAAAAGGAAAATTAACCAAAGTGCTAGTATATATGGATGATCTTATCATCACTGGAAATGATGAAGATGAAATCCAACGGACCAGAAGGAATCTATCAATGAGATTCCAAATGAAAGAGCTTGGAGAACTAAATCATTTTCTGGGACTCGAGATGGAAAGAACGAAAGAAGGATTATTCTTGTGACAACACAAATATAGCAAAAATCTCGACTGCAAACCAATATCGACACCAATTGAGATTAACTCCAAGCTATGTGTAGATGAAGGCAAGGATTTGGAGAATGCAACCATGTAACGAAAACTGGTAGGAAGCTTAATCTATTTGACGCTAACACGACCTGACATAACATATGCAATAGGGATAGCAAGCCGCTTTATGGAAAAGCCAAAGAAGCCACACCTTGAAGTAGTACGACGGATCCTAAGGTACATAAAAGGAACAATTGATTATGGACTATTTTATATGAAAAACAAGGATAGCAAGATTGTTGGCTATTGTGATGCGGACTATGCTGGATGTCGAGATACAATGAGATCAACAACTGGCTATATGTTTAATCTTGGGTTAGCTGCAGTATCATGGTGCAGCAAGAGACAACCAACCGTGTCCTTGTCCACTGCAGAGGCTGAATATAGAGTAGCAGCAATGACAGCTCAAGAAAATACATGGCTAACACAATTGACGAAAGATCTACAACAACCAGTAAGTTATGCAGTGGAATTATATTATGATAATCAATTAGCTATTAATATAGCAGAAAACCCAGTGTGCCATGCAAGAACTAAACACGTCGAAGTGCACTACCATCTCGTTAGAAAAAAAAAGTGCTAAAAGGAGAAATAGACTTGAAATACGTTAACACTGAAGAACAAGTTGTAGAAAAAAAAGAAAGAAAAAAAAAGAAAGGAGAATTAAAAGTTGGTATTGAAGAGGAGAATTAAAGATACAACACCAACTTCAATTGAAGATTTCAGAATTTTGTGGATTTTTCCATCCTATATTTTACTACTAATTTCTTGAACCTTCTTCATGGAAGAATTCTCTAGAAGATGAAGGCAACCACCATCACCAACATTATGGAATTGTGTGGAAGAATCAACCGCTTTCTTTAGCACCTATATATACCCATGTCTAGTTGCATTTTGTGTAGAGAGAAAGAGAGTGTAGTAAGTGAAAGAGAGAAAATATTGTGAGTGCTCCATTTCTAAATAATATAAGTGAGGATAGTGATCTCAGTGTGTATAAAAAATTGTGTAAAATTTTATCTTATCAATAAAAATTACTTTCTTTTGGTGTTTAAACTCTACATACACATCTTCTTCAGGATCGTGAGTTCAACAGGAAATACATGCTGAAGTTAGAAAAAACTTCCTTGTCTCATATGGTCAGTATGACCCTTTTAAGTATGCCCTCAATGCAAACGCATTTTGAATTTGCCAATTCTTATATTTACACTGTTTCTGGATGACCCATTGAAGGTAATAGGTCCATATAATAGAAATCATATTCATAGTTTTTGGGTCATGACGATAGAGTTAGCTTATATTTATCTAAAATCTTAAGAAAAATCCTATATAGTGTGAACAGCATGAGAAATTCCCACCAGCCAAGAAGCTAATTGAACATCAAAGTTCGAAGCTTCGTTCGTAACTTCCTTAGCAATGAAGTCGGGACTGGCTAGTTTGGTAATATTCACGGTCTTCATTCAGCTCGTGTCCATCGGTGTTCAAGCCAGCACTCGTCTACCATTTCTGATAAATACTCAAACTCTGGAACCATATCAACACGTCACCGTAACAGGTTAAAATGCTCTTGCCATCCCATTTTCATCGATTCGATTTCTGTTTTGTTTCTTGGAATCTTGGTATCAAATGACATGCAAGAATAAGGAGATGATGGACTTACTTTGTGCACTGAAAATGTTTATTTTGTGCATCTGATTCATAGGTTGTAACAATAACTGTGATATAGCTTGCTGTTATTGTGATATAAGAAAACGGCCTCCGCTTTGTGTCCAGTGCTGCAGAGAAGGCCTTTGATTCCTAGGTATGTGTCATTTCTTCATACATTTTTTCCCTCTCTTTACTAACACCTAAGTTACACGAAACCGAAACGAAATGCCACATGATACTTAAAAATGTTAGATTTTATAAAAGGAAGACACAAAATATTGTGAAAACGTTAGTACAAGAAATATTAATTAATTTTATAACTTAATAGCAAATTAAAAAAAGGTTATTTAAAATAATTCAAACTCTAATCACTTTTAAATTTATTTTAGTATGAGAATTAAAGCTAAATATTATGTAATACATTTTTGTTCAAACCTGAAGTCAAAAGTTCATGATAATATGCAATTCTTAATCCAAGTTATAAAATATTTTGATCGAAAGTTTCCTTAAGTTTATCGAATACTATTGAAATTTAACAAGTATTAGCTTATGCTTGGGAAGTGTTTATAAACATTTTAAATTATTAATATCTTTTAGCTAATTAATTTTCATCCACGCATTTTTAGGATCTACATTTCTCAACCAGTCATTTGAAGTGTCTTCCAAACATACTCTCAGAAAATTATTTTAGGGTTTCTATATTATTTTCTAAGAGTTTTGATTTTCGAAATGTACTCAAGAAAATGTTAGCACTTTAGAAGTTTCCGGGCATCCTTGCCCAATATGGAGATGACAGTAGTACAGTCTTGAAAAGATCCTTTCAAGAGATTAAGCGTTCCTTTCCATTTCTTCCAAATAAAATCGAGCATGTATCTTACACAGACGAGTATGAAAATCTAGAAGAACTAATTTGTATCTTTGAATTGACTGTCACTGTTTATGCAGGGTGATCTGCCAAAGAAGAAATAAAGAAATGCAGTTCGAGAAGAAAGCAATCGTGGATCAAACATGGGAAACATATTCTTGATTTTAGTCGCTTTTTTTTCAAAGTTTTACTCTTTAAGAAAAACTTAATTTAGACCAATAAAAATCAGGCCTGCAATTATTTTTATTTTTATTTTAAAATTTTCTTGTGTCTATTCCAGCATCAAAGAATAACCATGTTCTAATTAAACTACTAGTCTTAAAACAAGTGAATTGAGATTTTGTATGTCCATCCTTCGTGTTGTGTGGATTGTTTGGTTTGTTGGGTCCTAGTTGATTATCGAACAAACAATGTACAACCCTATCATAGTGAAAGTTAATCGCGACTTTTGAAGAATTGAGAAATTGGAAAGAAAAAAGTATACGTGACGTAGAACTTGTTCTTGAAAAACTAGAGAGTATTGAAAAATTGTAAGAGGAGGTGAAGAAAAGAGTATATTTATTTGTCTTTCTGCGATCTACTTGTGCATTCATTTTCACCGGTTGTTTTTGCATCAATCAGACGCTATTCTTATAAAATTAAAATTTATGTTGAGTGCCCGGTTGACTTTGTCATAATAGCATTCAGACGTAAGTTAGTTGTCCGTGCTTGATGCAACTCATGCAAGGGTATGGGAAAAGGGAATTAATTCTACAAAATGAAAAGGGTAAATTGCACCAGGTTTCCTCACCTTTGAAGGTTTTGACGAGGAATTCCAAATCTTTTATTTTTAACACCCGAAGTCTCCAACCGTTCAAACAATTATGCAAGTGTCCTTTGTAACAGAAACCGCCAGTTTAACCGTTAAAAGGTAAATTTTGAGAAAATAATTTTTTTACCCTTAGTTTGATTTAAATTTAAAAAATGAAGAAAAATGTAAATTACACCAGAAACCTTACAAATGTTTGCAATTAACATCCTTTTGTAATGAAAACATTCAGTTTGATAGTTAAAACGTCAAATTTTGAGTAAATGACTATTTTACCGTTAGTTTGATTTAAAAAAAAAAAAAACAAAAAAAAAAAGGAATAATAAATAAACATAAAATAGCCAAAAGATAAAAAATGGTAAAAAAACAATTACTCTTCTTATTTACACCACCCCCACCGTACACTACCTTACTCACCAGTCACCACTTCTTGTCGACCATCGTTGTCTAAACCTAAACCATCCACAACCACAACCACCAGCCTCCGTCGGTAACTTCGAAGCCCTTTCCCACGCCTTCTAAAAAAATGGTGCCCTCATTTTGACGTGCAAAAACCAGGGACCCCCGGCACTGGGTGAAAACCATTAGTCCAAACTTGTAATCATTGTATAATTGTTCAAAATCGTAGTATAAGAATTGAACAATAAGGGATCAAGCCTCAATGAAAATCATTACATGGGCATTGGATGCGCAGGCACGAACTTTTAGGCCATGCATGCGATGGCCTTCTTCTGTAGGAACAGAAGCAAAAAAATGTGTACTACCATACGTGTGCACGGTTGGTTACACTAGTGTCACAATTCTTGAAAAGATCCCAACTGTAGCAGAGAACATGTATCTTTTTGCAAAATGTGAGGATCTGGAGGTGAGGTGAAAAAGCGAGTCTGGGTTGGGGAGGTTGGTGAATAAGATAAAGATGCACGATTGGAGGCATAAACATGTGAATGATCGGAGAATAGAGAACTGTAAGGAATCCGAAGGCCAATTCGCGGCACATGGGTATGACAAGAAAGAAATCTAAGGTATGAAAAGGAGCAATCATAAAAGCACTCAATAAATGCATAATGAAGCAGGTACTAGGCACGAGGCTAGATAATTTGAAGCAAATAGCATAAGTATCCCTCAAAAGTTATATTGTGTAAATTTGTAAAGTTAGATCACCGATTAATGAGATTTGAGTGATCAAAAATGATAATAATGAAATGTTATTAAATGTATATACTTTAGGTGAAATTGAGAATATACGACGAGTTTCGTATATTAAAATACAGAAATCGTTACAAATTGTATTTTGATAAAATACAAGTGATGTTGACCCTCTTATAATTGCGAAGTTTCATAAATCATCCGATTAATTATCTGAATGTTTGAAGACGAGGGGCAACGTGGCTTGAGTCTTGGTCTTCGAGAATTTAATCGAAAATTTGATTTGTTCAGAACTTGAATTTTAAGGCTTGGACTTAGACTTGAATTTGATTTGATTTGAAAAGACTTTGATTTTCTTGAATTTGGTGTGAACCTGTTTAATTCGTATAAAATTTTGATATCTTGAGATTCACCACATTTCGATTTGAGAGGACTTCTTTCATTCCCCCGGCTTTGGAATTTCTTCTTTTTTCTCCTTACCTGTCGTATGGACTATTGGACCTATTTATAGGAGAAAATTTGTGCTAATTTTGGTAATCACTCAATTATATTTAATTAAAGAATGAAAAATTTAGTAATTATGATTTTTATTTATATGTTTATTTATTTTTTAAAAAGTGAGATGGGTTTTTAGGTTTATGGTCCTTTGTAAACTTTAATTTAATTGGGCTAATGATTTAAATCTAATTGCGCTAATGATTTAAATCGATCCAATCCATTTTATTTAATTTAATTCTTTATTTTTTTATTATGCAGGGTGATCTGCCAAAGAAGAAATAAAGAAATGCAGTTCGAGAAGAAAGCAATCGTGGATCAAACATGGGAAACATATTCTTGATTTTAGTCGCTTTTTTTTCAAAGTTTTACTCTTTAAGAAAAACTTAATTTAGACCAATAAAAATCAGGCCTGCAATTATTTTTATTTTTATTTTAAAATTTTCTTGTGTCTATTCCAGCATCAAAGAATAACCATGTTCTAATTAAACTACTAGTCTTAAAACAAGTGAATTGAGATTTTGTATGTCCATCCTTCGTGTTGTGTGGATTGTTTGGTTTGTTGGGTCCTAGTTGATTATCGAATAAACAATGTACAACCCTATCATAGTGAAAGTTAATCGCGACTTTTGAAGAATTGAGAAATTGGAAAGAAAAAAGTATACGTGACGTAGAACTTGTTCTTGAAAAACTAGAGAGTATTGAAAAATTGTAAGAGGAGGTGAAGAAAAGAGTATATTTATTTGTCTTTCTGCGATCTACTTGTGCATTCATTTTCACCGGTTGTTTTTGCATCAATCAGACGCTATTCTTATAAAATTAAAATTTATGTTGAGTGCCCGGTTGACTTTGTCATAATAGCATTCAGACGTAAGTTAGTTGTCCGTGCTTGATGCAACTCATGCAAGGGTATGGGAAAAGGGAATTAATTCTACAAAATGAAAAGGGTAAATTGCACAAGGTTTCCTAACCTTTGAAGGTTTTGACGAGGAATTCCAAATCTTTTATTTTTAACACCCGAAGTCTCCAACCGTTCAAACAATTATGCAAGTGTCCTTTGTAACAGAAACAGCCAGTTTAACCGTTAAAAGGTAAATTTTGATAAAATAATTTTTTTACCCTTAGTTTGATTTAAAATAAAAAAATGAAGAAAAATGTAAATTACACCAGAAACCTTACAAATGTTTGCAATTAACATCCTTTTGTAATGAAAACATTCAGTTTGATAGTTAAAATGTCAAATTTTGAGTAAATGACTATTTTACCGTTAGTTTGATTTGAAAAATAAAAAAAACAAAAAAAAAGGAATAATAAATAAATAGAAAATAGCCAAAAGATAAAAGTGGTAAAAAAAACAATTACTCTTCTTATTTACACCACCCCACCGTACACTACCTTACTCACCAGTCACCACTTCTTGTCGACCATCGTTGTCTAAACCTAAACCATCCACAACCACAACCACCAGCCTCCGTCAGTAACTTCGAAGCCCTTTCCCACGCCTTCTAAAAAAATGGTGCCCTCATTTTGACGTGCAAAAACCAGGGACCCCAGGCATTGGGTGAAAACCATTAGTCCAAACTTGTAATCGTTGTATAATTGTTCAAAATCATAGTATAAGAATTGAACAATAAGGGATCAAGCCTCAGTGAAAATCATTACATGAGCATTGATGCACAGGCATGAGCTTTTAGGCCATGCATGCGATGGCCTTCTTCTGTAGGAACAGAAGCAAAAAAATGTATACTACCATGCGTGTGTACGGTTGGTTACACTAGTGTCACAATTCTTGAAAAGATCCCAACTGTAGCAGAGAACACATATCTTTTTGCAAAATGTGAGGATCTAGAGGCGAGGTGAAAAAGCGAGTCTGGGTTGGGGAGGTTGGTGAATAAGATAAAGATGCACGATTGGAGGCATAAACATGTGAATGATCGGAGAATAGAGAACTGTAAGGAATCCGAAAGCCAATTGGCGGCACATGAGTATGACAAGAAAGAAAATCTAAGGTATGAAAAATGAGCAATCATAAAAGCATTCAATAAATGCATAATGAGGCAGGTACTAAGCACAAGGCTAGATAATTTGAAGCAAATAGCATAAGTATCCCTCAAAAGTTAAATTGTGTAAATTTGTAAAGTTAGATCACCGATTAATGAGATTTGAGTGATCAAAAATGATAATAATGAAATGTTATTAAATGTATATACTTTAGGTGAAATTGAGAATATACGACGAGTTTCGTATATTAAAATACAGAAATCGTTACAAATTGTATTTTGATAAAATGCAAGTGATGTTGACCTTCTTATAATTGTGAAGTTGCAAAAATCATCCGATTAATTATCTGAATGTTTGAAGACGAGAGGCAACGTGGCTTGAGTCTTGGTCTTCGAGAATTTAATCGAAAATTTGATTTGTTGAGATTTGATTTGTTGAGATTTGATTTGTTCAGAACTTGAATTTTAAGGCTTGGACTTAGATTTGAATTTGATTTGATTTGAAAAGACTTTGATTTTCTTGAATTTGGCGTGAACCTGTTTAATTCGTATAAAATTTTGATATCTTGAGATTCACCGCATTTAGATTTGAGAGGACTTCTTTCATTTCGCCGGCTTTGGAATTTCTTCTTTTTTCTCCTTACCTGTCTTATGGACTATTGGTCCTATTTATAGGAGAAAATTTGTGCTAATTTTGGTAATCACTCAATTATATTTAATTAAAGAATGAAAAATTTAGTAATTATGATTTTTATTTATATGTTTATTTATTATTTAAAAAGTGAGATGGGTCTTTAGGTTTATGGCCCTTTGTAGACTTTAATTTAATTGGGCTAATGATTTAAATCTAATTGCGCTAATGATTTAAATCGATCCAA